GGCAGATCAAATTAGGAGGCTGCTATAATGTAATAATAGTAATAGTTAACATTTACTAAGTGTGTTGCTATATATTAGGCACTGGCTAAGCACTCTATATGAACTGTCTCCCTTAATGCTCCCAACAGTACATTAAAGTAAATATAGACGGTCACAGACTGACTACAGTTCAACTTACAATTTTTTTTTGACTTTACAATAGGGCAAAAGTGATATGCTTTCAGTAGTAGAAACCTTACTTCAAGTACCCACACCATTTTGTTTTTCACTTTCAGTACAGTATTCAATTACATGAGACATTCAACATTTTATTATAAAATAGGCCTTGTGTTAGATGATTTTGCCCAACTGTAGGCTAATATAAGTGTTCCAAGCATGTTTAAGGTAGGCTAGGCTACATAAGCCATGATGTTAGGTAGGTATATTAAATGCATTTTTTTTTTTTTTTTTTTTTTTGCAGAAAGGAAACAAGTCAGGTTTCAATTAGAGATACAGGCCCCTCACATTGATCTTGCAGTAAAAAAGTCAGGGTGGACTGACAAACTTGAGGCATGTACAAGGCACGTCCGGGGCCCCTCCCCTCCTGCCATAGGAAGGACAGCAGCTTAGGGTAGGAGAGGAGGAGGTTTGAGGTAAGGGTTGAGCCCATAAGAATTGTGTGAGGTCTTAAGTTATGTGAGGCTCCTGAACAGCCAAATTGGTGAGTGGGGGGGTGGGAGAAGTGAGGGAAGGGGGCCTGCCCTCCTCTCTAGGGGAGCTCCTCTCACCATTTGGCAGGTCTATTGGCAGGTCTAACAGGCCTCTAAGGCACAGACTGGTAGGAAGAGGGAGAGAAAGGATGTGTGTGCCTATCCTGCACTCCAGATGCAGGGTAAGGAGCAGCTGGGGTGCTCAGGTGGGACCCCACCTTAAATGCATTTTTGACTTACAATATTTTCAACTTAGGATGGGCTTATCAGGACATAACCTCACCCTAAGTTTAAGAACATCTATATATAATTATCCCCATTTTTCAGACATGGAAATCAATGAAGAGAAACTATAGTTTGCCCAAATTCACACAACTCATATGTATTAGTCTTAATCCAGAGCCCACATTCTTAACATTACTCTATTATGCCTCTCTCAGTAGACTAGATGGTCACTTAGACATGAGTAACGGAAATGGGAAAGAAAATAAGTGGCCAAGGCACATGTGTCTGATTTGGTGACTGATCGGAAGTTTGGTGACAAAAGAAAGGGAGAAGTTAAGAATGATAGCTATATTTGAACAAATGGAGAACAGAAGTACTATTTCCTTATAAAGTTAATTATGGTGAAATAATGGATTTGAAAGGAAAAGATACTGAATTCAGTTTTGGTCTGACTGAAACATATCTTGGTTAGAGATATCTAGGGGAAAAAAAATTTATCTGTTGAAAGGTCAGAAAGGCCTGGGGTCGAAATACATATTTGAGACCCCAACATATAAAGGAGGTTACTGAAGTGAAATAAGTACATGAGGCCACTTAGAAAAATATGTAGAATGAAGAAAGGACTAAAACATAATCCTGAGGAAATGAACATTAGGGATCAAAGGAGAGTGACTTGGAGTGGTCAAAAGAAGGAAGGTCACATATGGTAAGTTTTAGAGCACCTAGTTTCAGTCCACTTCCACTGGAGTGCCTAAACAATGGTGACAGGGCTGCACTGACCTAATATTTTATGGTTCTAGATGTCTTCGTAGGAAAAAAATTAAATTCTTTTTTTTTTTTTTTTAAATATCTTTTTTTTGTTTTTTTTGGGACAGAGTCTCACTCTGTTGCCCTGGCTAGAGTGCCGTGGCATCAGCCTAGCTCACAGCAACCTCCAACTCCTGGGCTCAAGCGATCCTCCTGCCTCAGCCTCCCGAGTAGCTGGGACTACAGGCATGCGCCACCATGCCCGGCTAATTTTTTTTTTCTATATATATTAGTTGGCCAATTCATTTATTGCTATAGTAGAGACGGGGTCTCGCTCTTGCTCAGGCTGGTCTCGAACTCCTGACCTCAAGCAATCCGCCCACCTCGGCCTCCCAGAGTGCTAGGATTACAGGCGTGAGCCACCGCGCCCGGCCAAAAAATTAAATTCTTAATAGAAAATTTTACAAACCCACATTATCTCATAATGCGTCAATCATTCAGTTGCTACGTGATGTTTACATATTAGCAGGACTTCTCTTTGATAACCTAACAGACTACAAACTGAACAAATATTTAATTATTTCTTAAAAGATATACTAATCTCTATGTCATCAATTAGAAAGATTCTCTGCATCAATTTCTAGGTTGCAAAGTAACCAAATACCCCATTTACAAGATTCAGGTACTATATGGAGAAGGGAACTGCTCTATATAGAGGAGCTATTATGTGTTGGATAACATACTAAATCTTTTACATCCACTATCTCATTTATTGTTGCTATTAACATAGAGGAAGATGATAGCTTCATTTTCAAGATGAGAAAAATGTGGACCAAACAGAAAAGCTGGTTATCCACAATAACTAATAAGAGGAAAAACTATAAAATATACCTATCTAAAGATCATGATAAAAAGCTTATCTAATATATCGGTAAGATCAAAAACAGAGAACAGTGAACGTGGCAGAAATTACTGTTTTTTGGTTATGTCCCATAGCTCAATGGGGTCTCTCATTATAAAATGTTAAAACTAACACTTGTATCTTTGTTCTTTAGTATGTTCTAATCTCATGTTAACCTGATCAGATTATAATCTTACTCTTCTCTAAGAGTGTGTCAGTCTGTCCCTTCTTCTGTACCTACTGTAACACATCACTAAGCCCAAGGCTTGAGACTAAGGTAAAAATAACTATTCTTAGTCTCACAGATAATCCTGGGCAATGACAGGACAATAAAACAAATATGTTCTATAAAACCCTCCTCTTGGTGCCTTCTAATTCTCCTGCCTGACTAACCCAGTTTCATAGGGCCTTTTGATCCCACTGCTTCCTGAACCACACTCCATCCATTAAACCTGCTACACTGGCTACTGTCCCTCTGCATTTTCCATCCTAAAGAAACCTTTCCCTGGCCATGCTCATTGGCTCATACCTGTAATCCTGGCACTTTGGGAGGCTGAGGGGATAGGATTGCTGGACCCCAACAGTTCAAGACCAGCCTGAGCAACATAGCAAGACCTTGTCTCTATAAAATATAGAAAAACTAGCCAGGTGTGGTGATGTGTGCCTGTAGTCCCAGCTATTCGGGAAGCTGAAGCAGGAGGATCACTTTGAAGTTGCAGTGTGCTATGATGATGCCACTGCACTATAGCCCAGGCAATAGAGCCAGACCCTGTCTCAAACAAAAACAAACCTTTCCTAAATCATCTTTGACGCTTAAGCCACTGTTTCATTTTTCCTCTTCCCTTTACCTCCAAACTTTTTCAATTATTTATCTCTATTTCTCCTTATTGAATACTCACAGCATTTTAAGCTGTTGAGCTCTACATGGAAAGAAAAGGTTTCTAAGAATACAATCAAAAGATTTCTACTTGGCTGCCTCTCTTTCTCACTCCACTGAAATTGCTAAGGAACCAGACACTCCCTAATTGCCAAATGTAGTTGCCTTTTTTTTAGGCCTCATCTTGAGTTTTCTGTATCACTCACTGATCACTTTTAAACCTTCAAATTTTCCTCTCTAGAATTCTTTAACCCAACTTTCACCTTAATTCTTATCTCTCTGACAGTTTTTCAACAATCTCCTTCTCCAGCTCTACATCTTTTACTTGCCCCTGATATACGTATTACCTAACTGTACACATTTGGTCCTCTTTTCAGTATATCTCTACACTGCCCAATGTAGTAGCAATTAGTCACATGTGGTTATGTACACTTAGATTAATTAAAAATAAACATTTATAATTCTATGAAATATTCTAAACTGTGTCCTCAACATAACTCAGTATCTTCCCTCCCTTCTCAAACTTTCTGTATTCTCGATTTCTAAGTAAACTTGGACTTTTCTTCCTCCTATGTTCTACCACATCCAGTCACTAAATCCTTTTAAATGCATGTGTTTTTAACCTACCTCTCTGTCTCGACTACCAGCTCCAAAAGCCCTACCACAAAAATAAGCTTCTGTCTCTAACCTTCCCACATTTGCTTCACTCTTTCCCCAGTTCATCCTAGTCCACATTAATATTAAAATTATACTTCTAAAACCCATGCAAATTCTCTGCTCAAAAACTAGGGGCTAAACACCTAGAGAATAAAACATAAATTTCTAAGCATGAATTCAAAGCACTACTCAATTTAGTTACAGCTTATTTTATGCTTCCAACTTCCTCTCCTCATACATACTGTACTATCCAGCCACTCCAAATTACCAGGTCCTTTCGAGCAGCAATCTCTCCGCTAAATTAGTTCCTATTCTTCTCAATTAAAAAAAAAAATCCTATTCACCTGTAAAGGCCCAGTTCAAATGGCACTGTTTGTGAAGTCTTTACCATCCCCCAGATATATCTATTTCCTCTTCAGAGTTTCTGTAGCACTGAGACATAACGACTGTACATTCCCAGCGTCTAGTACCGTGCCTACGGTATAATGTTAAAAGATTTAAAAACTCTCTAGACAATATCTGTGTGGGAGGGAACAAATCTTTCGATTATATTTTTAGAAACCTTTTCTTTCCACGTAGAGCTTAACAGCTTGAAGTCCTGGGACTATTCAATGGGTATTCAACAAACAGCCGAGTTTGAGGCCTGCTCGATATTTTCTCAATTCCAGAGGGAGCGCATCAATGCTACCTGAACGGAGGCTTTGCTGGGAACTAGAAATTTGGGGTCCTTCCCTCCTCAGCAGCTTGCTCACAGAACAAGAACCGTGGCCTCCAGCGGCCACTCGGCGAAAGACAAGAAAATAAAGGAGGGTAGGTTATGGAAAGAGATGGGAAGAAACGTTCCAACTGGAGCAAGAAAGGAGAATAATAGCCCTCTCCTTCACCGTGTAAGGAGCCAACCTACCTAAAATACCTCTGCTCCTTCTCAGTCGCGCCTTCCCGTTCTTCACTTCTAGGCAGCTAACACGCGTCTCACGGGCGAGCTACCTCTTCCGGGGTGCCTGGACAAGTTCCGGGTCAAGAACCACGAAGCAACCAGTCATTCTTCTTCTTGCCACACCCACAAGGCCGGCATCAAGAGCTGAACTGAAATCCTGCAAGGATCAACCGAGGCTGCCCAAAGGCGGGGGGGGGGGGGAACGTTTCCCTTTTGGAGGCGGTCTCCGGAGGTGGGAAGACTGCACCGGAAGTGACGCGAACGAGTTCCGGTTGGTCGGAGCCCAGCGGCGGGTGTGAGAGTCGGTCAGGAGCCGCTTCCAGGATCCTGAGATCCGGAGAAACCGGGGTCGGAGCGGGTAAGTAAACTAACGCGGGGATTTAGGGATGGAATCCTGAGACTACCCTCAGCGCTTGGCTTCTTCTGGAGCTCTCCCACTTAGTGCAGGTCTGGGGCACCGTAATTTCGACTTCCAGCAGTGTTTTAGGGCGCTGCTGATGCTGAATGTCTCAGCCTGGCAGTAGCCAGGTTATTTGGGACACCTCATGGTTGGTCATCAGGACATTGAACCCAGACACCTGACTCCCAACCATTCGTTCTCCTCTCCGCGGACTTAGAAGCTGTACCCTTTCGTCCTGGTGTGTCCAGGACCTTACAGTATATAGAGAAGGTCTTCCTTGCTGACGACCGTGCTGTTTCTCAGGATCTGTCAGTTTGGTTCTTGCTCTCCCCAACCTTTAGCGCGAGATGCTAAAATGTATCCGCTCCTAAATGATATTCAGACGTGCTAGTGCCATCTAAAGCGCTGGTGGTACAGGGTCGTCACGAGAATGGGCCTTCTCTCCGTAGTGCCCCTGGCAAAGGACCTTCTCCGATATCCCCCTACTTTCATAAAAAATAGAGTTCTCTGCCTTTTCAAACCCTGACCCCTGACTCCTGTATTTCGTTACAGTGTAGGTATTTGCAGTAAAACTGGAAGGTCGACTTAATCTCTAAAATTCCAAGAAGCCACTGCTAGATTATTTATGACCTTTAGTAGATTTTACACAATCATTATCTTTTTATTGCCTGCAACTCCATGCAAAAATTGAATAATATATAAATTTGCCCTGTTTGCTTATCTTGGCAACATTCCTCCTTATCTTAACTTTAATGTCTTTCAGTTCTCCTTTGGGGCTTGTCAAAGATTTTGTAGACAGATGTGCGTTGATCGTCTGGAGAAGCTTGTACACGTTTTCCTATTGTTGTAATGATAGAGAATTTCATATTCTGATTTCTACTCCCTGTTATTTGTATTGTCTTTAGCTCTGATTTTAATTGTTGTGTATCCTTAGCATAGATGGTGAAAGGAAGAAACTATTATTTACTAGGCAGCATTTTATGCATTCTAGGTTATATTTTTACTGACCTGTGGAAGAGGGATGGTGGTACCCAGACAAATGTGATTCATTTGTATAGTTATGAAGTAACTCTCAAGTAGGAATCATTCTTTGCCTACATTATTTTAAAGCACAAGCATTTTTTTCCTTTGAGGAATATATCTTATTTGAATACAACTGATTAACATAGTTTCATTTTTGTGACTTATGAAGAAAACACACATGTAACCAGGTTTCTGAAATATTTCAATAAATGGTTTGATGCCTTTTAGCAGTTTACCTATACCTAATTTAATCAGTTTGTTATTTAATTTACACATTCGTATTTTTGAGTTAGAAAATTTTTTCATACTTTGAAATGAGGTGACAAGATTTTTGAGATGTGGAATTATGATAGTGTATCATTAGTTTAACATTTGGTAAATTTGCTTATTGATTGCATAAACGCCAAATCTGATCTTATATTCTTTTTGTTCCATTTTAGTTATCCAGGGACTGATTATCCAGTTTTTCTTACTTTTCCAGCTTCTTCTTGCCTTTGGCTTGAATCACCACTTTTTAAGGTTTTGAAGATCATTAAACTTTAAATTAGAAGACCTGGATTGAAGTCTGGGCTCCAACATTTATTGAGTAATGGTTGGCAGGTTACTTAACATTCTGAGCTAGTCTGTATTGTGTTGATAAAAGTACTGCTTCACTTTATTTCATAGCATTGTCACAAGGATTAAGTGAGATAGTAAATGTGAAATCATTACATAAATGACTATATGGTATCATTTTACTGGTGAGAGCTGGGAACATCAGTGCAGAATACTGTTATTTCACATGATTTTCTGAAAATATTATCACGTTGTCTTCTGAGGTGATCTTTGCCCTGTGTGAGAAGACAGTAAAGCTAGCCAAGCATAGTTTAATACTGTGATCCATTGAATTAGTCACCTTAGTTAATAAATAGGTAGCTGGGAAATGAGTATAGTTTTGCATTTGGGAGTTTAAATCTGATCCTTGTTGGTCATCATGTATTGTCACTTGAAAATGTCCAAGTGCAGAAAAAGCTTAAGTTTTTGGTGCTTATATGTAGTTAACTAAAGTGTAGACATAGCCCTACCTTACTTATATACTTATATTAAGTAAGAAACCTTACTGTTTCATTGGGACCAATATTTAGAATTAGAAGGAATCTCTGTGAACATGTAGTTAAAGATTCTTCTCATTTAATAGAGGAGAAAATTGGGGCCCAGAAACGATCAGTAATTGGCTTGCCTGAAGTCATCTGGCTTAGACAGTGCCAGAACCTGAACTGTAACTAAGGTCCCTAGTGTACTTTCTGTTCTGCCAAGGTTGTCCCCAGGCATCTTGATATGGTTTGGTACTATTTCCTGGTTTGCATGAAAATGTTTTCTCTTATGTGTTTAATGGAATCTATCTATCCACACACACATAAATACACATATACATAAACATATTTTTTACAGACTTTTCCTTCCTTTTTTAGCAGTTTTAGTCTTACAAATTGTAGAATAACCAAAACTGTGCTTGGAAAGATTTGCAGTGGAATGCATTAAGGAAAGAAAACTAGTTATATTCTTTAGAATAGTTATTCTGAGTTCATGCTTCATTACTATCAGGTATTGCAGTGTCTCCTTTCTGGCAATTGGAAGTGACAGAGGATCCTTGTAACACATGTCTCTACTCAGTAAATGTTGCAAAAGAGTAGGAGGGAGCTGTATTAATTTCTTTGCTCCTGCTAAAAATACTTCCCCAAGCTGTTTTTAATTTTAATATTTTATTATGTTAATTATCCATTATATAAAGAGTCGTTTCTCTAGTTATTTCATTCTGGATAAATAGCCACTGTAGAAGAGTTAATTCTTTGTCTTGTTGGGTACTACTTTTGGTTCCATTGATTTCGTAAAACCTGTTAAGTCTCTCTCCTTTCTTGGAGATGATAGTTTCAGGTGCTACTCTAATTCCTGTTTTTGCCCAAGTGCCCTTTGTGTGTATCTCCCTTTTTGGCATAGGAATGAATTCTAGATTAGAGAATCCTGACAAATTAGATGAATTGAAGGGAAAATTTGGTTGCAATTTTGTTGGTTATTAACCCCCTATCACAAAGCCTTGCAAATATTTTTGGGAGTAACCTTTTAAAGAGTATATTGCCTCAAGAAATTCCTTATTTTGTCTGTGAGAATAACTTTGAAAGTGTTTGCTGAACTGAAGTTGTGTGTTATGTAAACCCTTATATAAAGCTCATTTTAAAATATTATGCTCCTTTGGCCGGGTGCGGTGGCTCATGCCTGTAATCCTAGCACTCTGGGAGGCCGAGGCGGGCAGATTGCTCGAGGTCAGGAGTTCGAAACCAACCTGAGCAAGAGCGAGACCCCGTCTTTGCTATAAATAGAAAGAAATTAATTGGCCAACTAATACATATAGAAAAAATTAGCCAGGCATGGTGGCACATGCCTGTAGTCCCAGCTACTCGGGAGGCTGAGGCAGAAGGATCGCTTGAGCCCAGGAGTTTGAGGTTGCTGTGAGCTAGGCTGACGCCATGGCACTCACTCTAGCCTGGGGAACAAAGTGAGACTCTGTCTCAAAAAAAAAAAAAAAAAAAATTATGCTCTTTGATTTGCACTATCAAGGCAATTTGAACTAGAGGCACTTTTTTGTGTCAGATCAAAGGTGCTACTTAAAGTTTAAGGCATAATTAAGTAAACGGCAATCCATTGAGTAATCCTTTCCCAGGTAGGCTACCTATAATTGCTAAAGCGTTTGTTAGTATTCCTTATCTTTTCAGGAGTTCATTGTGATGTTTTCTCTTGTTCTTGGGATCCTTTAATGATAGCTTTGGTCTTTGTAGGTTATCTGGAAGGACTATGCAGGTAGTGTTAAGAGCCAAGGCTATAAAGTTAGTCTGCCTTAGTTCAAACTCAGCTCTATTACTGTGCACCCCTTTTACTAGCCGCTTAGCCTCTGGCTGTCTCTGTTTCCTCCTAGACAATAAAGTCAGTACCATTATTGACTGAAAAAGATGAAAAGATGTAAGTAAAGCATTTAGCACAGTGCCTAGCATGTTGTTAACCATGATTACAATCATTGTCATCATGTGGCCCCCTGAGCTGTTGCTAAGAACTCTTTCCCAACCCTCTTTTGAAAGCATGACTTTATGTAGATGCTTACTTTATTATTATTTGCTCTTATTAATTTTCAGTAAATATCTCAGAGTATACATTTCATTTTGTGAATATTTTACAACATATGTGGGATTCTTAACCAAATGAGGCATTCTTATAGGCCATGCTGTTAACATTTGTGTATTATTAACAGATTACATTATCTGTATAAGCCATAACATAGAATTTGGGAATTGAAACCAAGTGTTCTTTTGATATTTAATGATGTCTTCTAGCACTTACTTTTTTTGTCACTTTCCAGTGACATTGCCTTATCTGTTCATTCATTCAGTCATGAACAAACATCTTGTGTCCTAGGCCTTATACCAAGTTCTGGAGAAAACAGTGGGAAACAAGACTTGTTATGAAGGAAGCAAACAAGGGTCTGAGAGAGAGTTAACAGTGTGGATATATGCCTCTTTGAGGCTGGAGCACAGTAGACTTGGAATACAGCAACATGAGATGATATAGGAAAGATACTCTGGTAATATGATATATACATGTGTGTCTGTGTGTATATATATATATATTTTTTTGTTTGTTTGTTTGTTTTTCATCCACAGTTCCTGGCTCATAACTGCCATTGAAATGCTGGTGCCGTTTAGGCCTCAAGAGCAGATTTCAGAAAATAGAATATCTGTCTCTGACCTTTTCCTG